TTTATCTATTTTACTATTATTTCTATTAAAACAATTCTTTAATATACAAAACCAGTAATCAGTACGAGGGGAGTAAGTTTTCTTCATAGTCTATTCCCCTCTCTGGATGGAATGATTCCTCCTGTGTATACAGTAATCTGAAGTGGTCTTCCCAGGCTGAAGCAGGAATAACAGATGGGATTTGAAGACTGGAGGGAACTGGTTGGAGAGTTATGAGTTTCCAAAATAAAGCTGAATTCTTGGAGCAAGAGGCAGAAATTAGTTGGTTCCATGACTCTCTTAAGGCCTACCTCTCCTTTAACTGTAATAGCTGTTTGTATTGACTCTTGAGAAGCAACAAATATTGAGCTGAATGGGAAAGCGGATTATTTTTTTATTCCTTAAAGCAGATGATCAGTTGTTTCTTGGCTGCATGGCATTCGTTGTCAAACCAAGATTGGTTAAAGGAGAACTGGTTCCCATTAACACTAGATGGACAAGTAGAGAGAATTGGCTGGAGAAGCTGAATTAGCTGGGCGTAGGATGACAACATTGGGTCAGAAGACCTTTCATCTAATATGTCTCGGCATAGTTGAAGTGCCTCTTTGGTGGAGAGCATTTGGGTTAATTTATCCTTCACATGGGATGTCCATTTCATGCATATTCGGCCCCTGAGGATGTCTTCAGATGGAATAGGGTATATTTCCAGGAAAGGAGCACCAAAAGATTTCAAAAACAGCATATTGGTAGAGTGGTCACTCTCAGGACACTTGTCAATATGAAATCTAAGAAGTGAAGTACATAGGTTTTTTGAAACGGCAGTGTAATCAATCAGAGGACCTTGTGCCAGCCCAGTGTGAACATTTTGCTGGATAGTTGGTGATGGTGGTGCATTCATTATCAGGAGATCTAACTTGCAAAATGTCTGCAACATATGTAGACCCCTAAAGTCTCCAACATGGTCCTTAGATTCTCTAGTTAAAAAAAACAGGAACAGGCTGCAAGGTAGGTGGAATTTGCTGGTATTTGGCATACAGCTGATTATCCTGTGGACCTAATCTAGCATTAAAATCCCCGCTATGACAATATGGGCAGTCAGAAACACAGCTGAAGATTGTTAATGTAAATTATGCTTTTGACCAGATTTCTGCAATGCATGGTTAAATGATGTTGGGTGGTATATAGAAGTTAATGAGGAGCATTAAGAAGTTAGGAATGACTGTTTGTGCAAAGTTCTCAGCTGAATCTAATGAAATGGTCTCAGCATTGAGGGCAATTGAATATGAATGCTCAAGCCAGCATGATGTCTCCCTCATCCAAAGCCAGGAGCTGCTGGGAGGGACAGGGATTTGTATCCCTCAATAAACAAATTGGTGGCTGACCAAGTCTCTTGAAACAAAATAATGTTGAATTGGGAAATACAGCTTGTGAAAGCAGGGTCTCTGGTTCTAACTTCCCATCCAGCAATGTTCCAGGAAAGGAAGGACAGTGATTCTGGTAGAATTTTGAGTCAGCTGGATCTTTCAGGGGAAGACAGAGGGCAACGCTTTATGTCCAGAGTAGCAGTTGTTTTGTCATCATCAGTGAAATCTGTCCTTAAAGAGCAGTTGGATTCTTCTGGGGCCTTGCACTTTAGTAGTTTGTCCATACAACCAGGTGCACATAGTTCAGTGAAATAAAAAAAAAAGTGAGGATCACATGTTAAGGTTGTTTCTGGAGCAGTGGAGGGAGAGCAAGCATTCATTTCTTGCTGAGAGGCAGAATATGCGTGCTTTGGGTCATAAGAGTTTACTGTGTCATCCTGTGAATAAGTAGTCTGAATATACTTAAGTTCATGCCAAATCAGGCTCCTGTTGACATTTAAATGGGACACAGTACAAGGGAGGCTGGTTTTAGCAGACAGCCCCAAATGGCTATCTGTTGAGACTTCGGCAGTATCATTGTGGGGCAAAAGTCTGATAGTAAACAAGTGTTGAATGCAGCAGGAAGGTCTGAGGTAGGATGAGACTTCCTGCCTGTGTTTGGCTCTTGGGGTGTCAAGTCAATGAGTAAAGAGGAGAGTCTCTTCACTTTTATGAATGAATAGAGGGATCCACAGTTTGATCAGTAACATTAAACATTACTAGTGGATTATTACACTTCCTCTTTTTTCTAATACGGACAGCTGAAACTTTGTGTGAGACTGAGGCACAGGGGTGAATAAATCAGTTGGCTGAGTGCCAGAGGCCAGGGCAAAAGTTTTAAGTGTCCCTGCTGAGGATATGGCAGACGTTAGAGAGCTTTGGACTTCATTCTCAAATATGGAGGGAGGGAGTAACTCATCTGTCTTCTGAGTCAGAGAAGAGTGTTTGATTGCAGCTGGCCTTGAGTCTGGCTGATCAGCCCTCCTTATCAGTTGCAGGGAGTTAAGGTTGAAGTGTTGTGAGATTGCTTTTTTTTTATCAACTCCCTGGATCGAGGCTGAATCTTGAGCTCTAAGAGTAGAGGACGAGAGGTGTCTTTAAAAACTCTAATAGGGGTTATTTCACATTTGTTCAGAAAGTCCTTCATTCTGATTAACATGAAAGGATAGATAGATTTAAAGGTAAGTACCAATCTGATATATTTGGCTGGAGAGGGGAGCCAGTCCAAATCCAGTAAGTCACAATGGAGCACTGGGCAGCAAAGAATCTGTAAGGGGGAGAGTGTTACAGCTCTCTTTGTCTGCCACTTGCAGGAATTAAATTGGTTATTAGCAATCAAAAGCTTGAGTCTGTGTGGTTGTAAGAAACATGGGTTATTTGAGCTGGTAAAAGCGGAAGTCTTAATGTCAGAGGATTGATCCACAGCAGCATTGGTTTTCTGCTCCCCCCTAAGATCTAGCTGGATCTTAGTGCTGTCAGATAGCCGGTCTTTATGTGACCAGCTTCTCTGGTCCAAGATATATTGGTCCAGGGAACATTTGTTATTAGCTGTCAGCAGCTAGTCATGGATTGAGATTACAGTCTGAGCTGTTAACAAACAGTTCTTAGCTAGCAGCTCCACACCAGTCTCAGTGGACAGGGTTTCAGATCTTTTTTCCTCCCCAGTCTCAAATTGCCCTTTTTCCTTGAGGAGTGTAAGTTCCTCGCTTTCCCAATTTAACAAGGTGCTGGATGAAAAAGCATAAGAATTTGATTCACCTACAGAGGCACTGATGGGTAGAAAGTTCTCAAGTGTAAGTTGATTAGGGTCAGTGTTCTTTCTTAGTCCAATGTGTTCGGCGTTGTTCTTTTGGTTTTGATGTACCCGCCTTCTTCTTACCTCAGTTATTGCTTTTTCGGGGAAATCTGTTATTAGAGTTGTTCCCCATCTGACAGCCTCTGGCCAGGAAATTTGGATTTGAACCATAATTTACAAAGGCTTATCTTCTGCAGTGGGTTAAGTAGAAATATGCAAAGGAATTGCTGGAGCTCTTTATGGTATATACGGCTACTTAGCTATCTTCCCATCACTAATACAACTGGAGATCCAGAATATAATCTCTGTAATCTCATCTCCGACATCAATACTATAATTCATTTCCCTTTTTTAAATCCTAACCTTCTTGTAAGAAAATCAGGGGGTCTTCTACTTACTGTTCCAATCAAATATACTTTATTTTCATTTGTTGTTTTCTCGTATTTGTACTTTTGTTTCTGTAACCCATTCTGCATACAAGATGCAAGATGAAAATACAGTTGTTGTTGTTTTTGTTGTTATTCCCAATCACATGTTATCCTTACCCTGTTCAGGGTGGGAGGGATTAAGCTAAGAACCTGAACCAGGATCATCGTGAGAGTGTCTTGGCTGTAGAATCTTTTGAACCTGAGTTTTCCATAGTTCTTAGAATCTATCACTGTAACAACTCCATTTACAATTACCAGAGCTGCTGATCACAGTAGATAGAGAAGGCAAAGCTAAATCTTGCCCCATCCTTCACGTCACAAGATTCTTTACGTGTATGAAAGTGGCATGGATTTTTTTGGGGGGGGGAGGGAGGGGCTGTTTTCTATTGAAAAAAACGTGGAAGGGGCAGTGATTGGAAGGAAAGGTTGGCTTGCCTTATAGAAGTAATGTCCTTTCTTTTCCGAAACCCCCCACATCACTGCAAACAGCTTCCTTACTAACCTTTTCTTAAAATAGAAGGAAAAAAAGAAACAAATTTGCCTCCAAAAGATAAAATAATTTCTGTTTTCACACCCCTGGATTCCAAAAAGAATCTACCATTATGTTTTTCTTCTTTGTTATCTCCCAAGCACTGTCAGACAAAACAAATTAAAGGGGACAGTTTGGAAGAGCATTAAACACCACTTGTAAAAGTCTGTAAGAAGAGGGAAAAAGCATTTTTACATTTCTGCTATTTCCTCTTAAACATATTGCTTTATATGGTAGGTATATTATCACAGCATGCATTTTCTCTCTCAGTGAAATCGCTTAACAAACGAAAAGCCTAAGTTTAGAGGAAAGGGCTATAGGTCAGTGGTAAAGCATATGTTTTGCATGATAAACATGACAGGTTCAATGTTCAACATTTCCAGGTAGGGCTGGGAAAAAAACTTTGGCAGTGAAATTGCTGAAAATGAAGACACTATGGAGCTACACAAGGCACAAATTCAGTTTAACATAAGGCAATTCATATGCTTCCCACAGCATCCCTGATTAGGATTCTTATCTTAAAAGGTGAGCGTGGAGTTCGTGGTCTACCAGGAGCAGCTCCTAAAATCATGCCAAACCTAATGATGGAAGTGAAAGGTGAAAAGGGAAGTAAAGGAGCAGTTGGTTTTAAAGGGAGTATCGGTTTGGAAGGTAAAGAGCCACAATGTATCCATAAGTACAGTATATTAAAAATATTGTTGTACCTTTCAATATGCACCAAGTTCTGATTTTTCTACAGTGAGGGAATTCAAATTTCCTACTCATCACAGTCCCACATTATCGGGGTCCCAGCCTGGCCAAAGGTCATAAAAAAGCCAATTAGGGATTGATTACTCACAGAGAGTAGAAGACACACACAGTAGTGCTGCTGATGCTAACAATCCTTAGGCCTTTCTGAAACCTCAGACTTCTGCATGTATGAGAAACTGCAGAAGTTATGGAAGAACCATCCTGCTAGTCTGAGCTCCTGAGAAGGCATTAAAAATAGCTTCTCTTGAATTGGGGTGGTTTGGGGTTCATTGTACTCTGAATCCTCTTCACAGCCTTGCTAGATTCCTGACATAAGGATGTGACAATCCCATCCAAGGAAAAAGAAGTGCATACTAATTAATTACTTATGTTTTTTTAATCCAAATGTTCTGGGTACTATACAATTAATAGCAGCATAAAAGAGACATCCAATGAATATAGTAACCATACCTCTGTATTAAAACAATAGCAAAATGTAACTAAAAACAAAAAATGATTTCAAATGTTCACCATAAAGTCAGCACTAGGCAGCAAATGCCTGTTTAAAAAGAAAGGTTTTCAGGGCCTTTCTGAATGCGAGAAGTGAAAGGGCTGGATCCACCCCTGGAGGCAGCATATTCCACCTAGGGTCAACCACTGAGAAGGCCTGCCTTCTGGTCCTCTTATCTCTCCCCAAAGAAGGATCTTAAGCAAGACCTTCTGGTTGCCTTCACAGGATAGGCAGAATAATGTTGGATAAAGTGGTCCATGTCCCTCCTGAATGTGCCAGTTTGGAAGCAAGAACTTTCTGAAAGAGCTGCTACTGGTGCCAAGCATCCCCGAGACATCAAGTTTCAGACCAATCTTCTCTGCAGAGAAGAAGGGAAATTAACATTTTCTATTATGTTATTTCTGTAGGAACTAAAGGATCGCTAGGATTACCTGGTCAGACAGGAAGACCAGGTTTACCTGGACCTCCTAGTTTTGAACGAGGTCAGAAAGGAGACATTGGAATTAAAGGAATAAGAGGTGTTCCAGGATATGCTGGTATCCCAGGTCCTCGTGGTATTCCTGGCTTCCCTGGCATCACTGGAAGGAGGGTGAGCAAAACTGGGTGTTCTGGTGGTTGTCTGCATGGATGAATCAAACTGCCCCTGTGTCTTATCTCTTATTTTACTGGAGTTCATAAAGCAGAGCACCAAAATCCCTAAAGCCAAATTCTGTAAATCCATCCAAAACACATTAAATTACGTGGAGAATAGGTTTTATTCTTGATGTATTTTTCAAAGTTTTTAAACATAAGGCCTGGTTACTTGAGGGACCACCTGTCTCCCATAGTATCTGCCTGGCTGATTTGATCTGGCAGGGTTGGCATGCTCCAGGTCCCTTCAGTTAAACAATGCCACCTGTCGGGAGCTGGAGGGTTTTGAAGACCTGGCTCTTCCCACAGGCCTTTGGTGAGGGAGAGTAAGCCCCTTTGCTTTGTTCTTGTCTGGTTTGTTGTTCACATCATATTTTATTTTATTTTATTTTATTTTATTTTATTTTATTTTATTTTATTTTATTAACTGTACTCTCTTGTTTTAGTTGTTGTAAACCGCCCAGAGTAACTAAAAACCGGGCGGCATACAAATTTGTTAAATAAATAAATAAATAAAAACATAAACTCACTACAGGTTCTCTACAGTTTCTATTTATCAAGACTCATGTCAGAATCCAGACAAAATCAGCTTGCTGGTGAATAATAATTATACTTAATAAGATTATGCCCATTTTCAATGTGACAGGGAGAAAAAGGTGTTCCAGGATTTCCAGGTTTGATTGGTGAACATGGCCAGCTAGGAGAAATTGGTGAGTCCATTTATTTTTATGAATTTAAGTTTGTTTTTTTAAATACATATATGTAGTCATATAGAAACATTGAACTTGGCTTCTTGTATCTTTTTATTCTTCATATACTTTCATATTTTATTTATTGCCTTTTTGTATTGTAGAAAAACTAATGTAGAGTTCTCTACAAGGGGCATTCTATATCCTATCAGAAGGGCTAGGGACAGCTCATACTTCAGACCTTTTCTACTTGTTAGGTATTCCCAGTCTCCCCAGATATGTCTTATAAGGGTTGGGCTGTCCAGAAGATGTGTTGAGTTGAGAAGGTATCTCCCCACAACATTTTTGTCATACTTTTGTATTCCTCCCTTGCTTATACATCCTGATTCATCTAGGTAAGAGGGAACAGCTGTACTGTAAAGAAGATGGAGTGTTGATAGATGTAGTGGAGATTTTGGTGGTTTCAGCAGGAACGTAACTATTAAATCTGTTCTTGTTCCAGTGGGCATTCTCTGTTCTTGCCCAGCCTCCTAATCTGTGTATGAATTCACATTTAGCTTGCCAAAAGAAAGCAACAAAGCAGGGGCCTTTCATGCAACTTTCCAGGAACCTGGTGATGAAACTGTGGATTTCTTCACCCTGCATTCCAGTTGTTGCTCCCTTTGGCTTTTCTTCCAGACCAAGGAGCAGAAGTTATGAAAAGCAGGACAACTAAAGATCTTCTACCTTTGCCTTTTCTTGAAAGCCAAGTCTATCGGAAGAGTACAGTGAAGAGTCTGTAGCACTTTTTAAGCTACTTCTCCTTTTCTTGTCCTTTTTTCTTATTCTTCCAGACAGGGCAACGGGCTATATTCCTGCACTTGCTTTCTTCAAAAATTAGAAGGAAGAAATCTATAGGTAGTCCTTGCTTAATAACCATTCTTCAGCAACCATTTCAAGTTACAACAATGCTTGAACTAATGGTAGTTGTGACTAGTCCTTGAAGTTATGGCCATTGCAGTTCCCCTGCAATCATGTGATTAAAATTTGGGTACTTTTTGGGTTGAAATAACTGAATTTGGGCAAAGAAACAGCTGACATCACTAAGGGAAGACTGCTTAGTAAGACTGATTGGTTAGATAGATTAACATCCTATAAGTCAGTGATCTCTGCTCCTACAGGTTTTCTAAAACTAGCCCAATAGTTCAGAATAACATTTGTAATCCCTTCAGAAAAATATCTTTGTTTATTTGTTTGTTTATGTATTGAATTTCTAGGCCACCCAACTCCAAAACAACTCTGGGCAGCTTTACAAGTTAAAATAAATAAAAGGGAAAAAATCCTAATATCAATATTCTCCTCTTAATGTCAGATAATACTTCATTCTTATAATTCTTGCAGAAAGTTTGAACTCTAGAATATATGTTAACTTCAGAATTCTTATATGACAGTCTAAGTAAAGACCTCAGTATGAGTACTTTTAAAATACAGTTATTTTATACAGAGAGAGGTGGAGAACTTCACCGTCATGACCAAGGCACTTTTGCTAAAATCATGCAGGTTGGTAGTGTTACCTCAGGAAAGATTAATATCTTGGTTATGTGTGGTATATTCTGGTTCAAACTTTGTGCTTTATTTAAGATTAAATAATTAAGATTAGACATAAGGGAGCCATAGAACCAGAGGTCTTACTCTTACTCTTTCATTCAAGAGACTTCTTGAAATCAGCTCTTTTTATATGGCCTAGCTTTGGACAATGCATTTGTACATCCTACAAAAATTTGGGCAAGACACAGCCAAAGCAGGTAATGGTTCATCTTATAAAAAGAAACCATTTGCTTCCTCAGACTTGTAGGAAAGGGCTCTCCTGGGAAAGCTTCGGAGGGTGATAACTTAGGTATCCATTCATATATAATGTTATAAGTTACCTTCCATTAGCAGATGCAGATTATTACAGGAGTGTCCTGCAGGAATGTTCCTGTCAGACACTGTTTTTCTATACCTTGAATTTTCTTTCTTTCTTTTAATTTTAAGTTCTATAAAGAATAAGAAAGCATTGGGGGAGTTTTTATTATCATGTAAACTCAACTTGCCATTCCAAACAATGGGATACATATGGGGGAGTGGTTAAGGCGAAGGGATTCCTTAAGTTTTTGCCCTGTGTTCAGTCATGCTGGCATTTCAAAATATTGACATAATTTCTTTCCTGGAATATGTTCCTGCACTTCTCAGTCCAGTTTGGGAAATCAGATGAACCTCCCCAACCTAGGAGTCAAAGTGTCTCCATTTGATGGGGGGGGGGGGAATTCCCAGAGTTGTAGAATGCCCTCTTTAGAACAGGATGTATACAGTAAGAAATTCCCTGATGTGTTTTTACATTAAAATATGCTCAAAAGATAGATATTGGTATAATTAAACAAATACATCTCTTGCTTAATAGGTAACAGGGGAGATACTATAAACTTGCCAGGAAGTAAAGGTTCCAAAGGATACCCTGGAACAGCTGGACCAACAGGTATTTGTGTGTGTGTGATGTGCATATGTATGTGTTTATAATACAGTATAATTCATTATCAGATGAGATAGCTAACTAGAGAACAAATTCATTAACAGATGTATGCAGTTATGAAATGACCACAGTATTCTTGATGTATTTCAGTACCATTACAGAGGATAACTGGACCTTCTACCTAGTTAAAATAGAGCAATTCATAAATTGTCAAGTGCTTTGTAGGTTTGCCATCTTTATCTTGATCAGGGTTTTTATCAGGATACCAGTAACTTGATTATGATTCCAATTTCCAGATAAAAAAACTAAGATTGCAAGGTTCAGACTACTCAGAATGCAGCCCTCTCTCAAGATGATATACTCTCTCTCTCTCTCTCTCTTACAGTTAAGCTCCATTGAGTTCCAGGTGTGACTCAACATTCTTACTAGGCTTTTTGCTGTTGTTGTTGTTGTTTCCAAGTAAGCAGAATGTTGAAAAGAAATTATGTGAAGGGAATCAGGACTCTCTCTGTCCAAACACTGAATAGAGCAGGGCCAAATTTGGGGTGGGGAGGAGAGGCCAGCAAAGGAAAGACTGGGTTTGAAAATGGGCTGAGTCTGGCTTGGGACTGTGGAGAAGACCATTGCAGTAGAAAGCCCCCATGGGAGAGGCAGCCGGACAGCATCTTGGAACATTGCCTTGGCTGCCCCATTCTAAGCTCCCTTCTTTGGTTTCTCCTGGCCACGTGACCCAGACTGGAGAAGACATGGTCTACTGCCCTGTATTTTCCGGGGCATGCAGGACCTGCAGTCAAAGATACAACACAGGGGAAGAGCAGAAATATGTACACAGATGCAACATTTTGCTTTGTTATACAAAAGAAAATATATTTCCACTGCTAGTTGGAAAGAATTCCGGAAGCTGTGCTCTGCAGGCTTTCCTTACCTTGTTCAGTTCTGAAATAACGTAATGATGGCATACAAAGATTGCGTCTACTGCTTGCAATAAGATCTTCTGTGTCTGTGTTTTGATCTGGTTTTGGCTTGCCATATTGAGTGAACCCAACTAGTTATGGATTTAATTCAACAATAGAATTAAATAAATAAACAGGCCATTCAGCCAAAAAGATACATCCTCAGTAGGAAAACCAGATTAAATGAAATCTGCAGTAATAAGTTTAAATGTGGCAGATGTGTCACCTTCTAGTTGTTTTGATCTAGAACACCTATAATTTGTAGCAGGGCTATGGAACTAGTTGTAGGAACTCTAGTTCAAAACATCTGGAGGGTTCCCTGGTGTCTCTCCCTGAACTGGTTTACCATATGAGCATGTTGCCTAAGAACATACTTCTCAATAAAAATCTCAGCAGGTACAGTACTAAGAGAATCGGGCCTGGAGAGTACTTGGATGGGAGAGTAAATATATCCATTAATTTCCCAGGAGTCTAGCTGAACCTGAAGAAGACTATCTCTATAAAAGATAACACATTCTTGAATCTCCACAAACTAAAAAGATGGAGATTTAAAATTTTCTAGACAGGAAAAGTGACAACAGCAAAAAAGGAACCTTTGCCCCATAGTTGTTTTGGTCCCTTGTTTGCTTTCAGCTTGTTCTACATGGATCTCAAGTGTCAGGCAGATACAAACTGTAAGAAGACATGTACAGAAGTTATAAATGAGGAAAGAATGAGAATGGCAATTTTTATTTTGAGTCAAAAATGACCTGATTATTATCTATAGCATGGATATGCAGAGTTTGTTTTATAAAGCAACCACAAGAGCTTTCATGATATGGGCAAAAAATGCTATTAAGATATAAAAGGCTAGTATGTTGATAAACATCCTGCTATAGGTTCAACTTAGGGTAGTATCAAGTACCGGCCAGTGGACTGCCAGTTGCCATGAGTTGAGCAGTTTATTGGCAGTTTGATTGTAGGCTGCTTTCTAAGGGTTTAGGCCTACGCTGCATTGCCCCCCTGCCCTGGTTAACTATGGGGTTCCTGTATTTCCTCTCTGTAGCACTAAGGGTTAAGCTTTGGGGCAACTAAAAGCCTACTGAAGCTAATAATGCCTACAGCATCTGGTGCAGGCTCTATTCTGGGGATTCCTCCCAGCTTGGCTCACTGCCTCATATCATCCTCTCCCAAAAAGTTCAAGCCAGCTTTAGTTGACAGCCATTCCCTTAAGGCCACACTTGGCCTGGAGACATTAGGTTGTCCACATTTATTTTACATAGATATGTTCACAATATAAATGGATTTGTTCAATGATTAATTAATAGTTGTAAAAGAAGGACTACATAATTGACTGTTGGAAGTACATATGGAACATGATTATTCAACATATTATTGATGTTCAAAAAATACTGCTCTCCTGCTCTTGTTGATCCTTTCAAAAATCCATGCTATGAACCTGAAATATTTAGGGATCTGCATCAGAACTGGTAGATGGAGACTTCCTGTGGCCCAGTGTGCCAGAAATAACACTATAAGAGGAAAAAGTATTATTTTTTCTATTTTACAGGGTTGACAGGAGCCAGAGGAAAGAAGGGTGAAACTGGGGATCAAGGACATCCTGGCGTAGAAGGCACGGAAGGCCCTCAAGGCTCCCAGGGGTTAATAGGGCGAAGTGGTAATGTTTTTATATTTTAGATATTCATAAATAACAATGTTTATAACAAACAAGGAAAATGGTATGAGTAGACGATGTGATACTTACATTCAGAAGTTGCATACATACCCATCATGCTATTCCCTTTATGCTAAGCAGTATTATGCTTAGTGCAGAAAAGACAAAGAACCTCAAAGCATGAGATAAGAAAAAGAAAAGGAAAAATAGCTACAGCTAGTTTAAACTAACACAATTCAGTCTACCTCTCCATACTTTCTATCCTTGCTTTTACCATCCTTGCTTTTACCATATCCATACACCACACTGCCTTTTCTTCTTTAAACTGTCTTTTCTTTCATCTTTTTCTTTCTGAAGATCTCATCAAGTCCATCCATCCAGGATTTTTTTGATTTTCCCTTTTTTGTTGACCCATTCATCTTCTCTAATATAATTATTTTGCATTATGATCCTCATTCATTCTCTTTATATGACCTCAAAGTACTACTTTTATACTCTTGTATTCAAACCACATTCATTCAGGACTCTTTCCAGAACCTTTCATCACCGTGGTATCCTTCACTTATTCTCTCAAACTTTCAGTCATGCTTTTAGATTTATAATAATTCTTTCACTATTATACGTATGGACTTATGCTTATATCACATATTCCAAACAGACCTTTTTTAAACAGATGCTTACCAAATTTCTTTCATGGATCTCTGAATGGACCTATCACTTTTCTGTATTCTCTTAACTCATTCCCACCTATCTGTTCATGTCACCTAACAAAAGAACTACTTGCCTAGATCACCTTGTTTTAGAACGTTGCGCAATTTTTATGAAAATTCATCCCAGGTTCTTTCATTTCTCACTGTTCACTGCAGCATAAAAGGCAACTATAAAACCAATCTGTTAACTTCTACCTTCATGCATATCCACAACAATCCAGCTAATAACAATTCATACTTTCTGGCAAACATTTTAGCCCTTCATTCATACTTAATTCTGCACCTTCACTTTCATGAATACATTCATCTTTACCATTTAGTCTTCTTATATTCCAAGTCACAATCTTCCATATGCCATGGTTGTCACTAGATAAATCCATATGTATATTGAGTTATGCTGTCCATCATGGATTCCACATGATGCTTTTTAGCAAGGTAGTGTCATCTAGATTATCTAATCCATTGAATTATCTGTTATCTGAATTACTGTATATATTTGTTGGTATGCTAAAACTACCCAGAGGGCCCTGCCAGTTTTCCCCCCATCACCTTAATCATCCAGCAATGATCCCACCTTGCCCTGGCCAGCGGTCCCTCCAATCAGTAAATAGGGAAGTACCAGAAATAGAAAGCAGCTGGCCCTCCACCCACACACTTCACTTTACCATATTAGCTTCCCAGTGAGACGGGCAGAAATGCCAGCCAGATTCTCTCTACCTCCATTTGGCAGGAAAAAATGAGGGGAAGAAGCAAGGGCACCTCAGGCCCTTGGCTTCTGGAGGAAGGGCAGAGGGGACTTACAAAAGTGGGATGTGGGCATGTCTACCCATTGAAAGCCATCCTGCCTTCAGCTGAATCAAAGCATCGTGAAACTGTTGTTTCTGGACCAGGTCACTTGACTTGTGGTATTACTCAGCTTGGGTTTCCAAGACAGCTGTAAGCCCCATAGCCTCATGGAGATAGGCAAGAAAATCTACTGCATGCAAAAGAAGCTGGAGGCAACTGAGAAGCATTTGAAGACTTCTGGCCCAGCAAAGATTTGGACAGAAAACAGTCGCAGCAAAGGAGTGTGCTTCTTTGACGGATGCTCAATAGCCATGTTCCTGGGTGGGCTGGGATATTTCTTAAAGTAACTATTAGGGGAAAGAAGACAGTTCAGCAACTTAAGTAGGATCTAGAAAGAAGTCAACCCAAAGCCTGCCCAAAAGTACTGAACAAATCACTGATTATTGAATCCAGAGTAAAAATGTTTCCATGAATACAGTGAATCCAAGAAATCCCATTGCGCTGAATTTAAAAGATTAAGCTAAGTTTTAAAAGTCAACAGTTAAAAGAGCCATGTTTGAAATCCAGTATTTTTCAAGATTGGTACAGAAGTTTACGTCAATAGATGATCCGGCTCTATATTAATATAAAGTAATACTTTAAATGGCATAGTACAATGAATTTTGTACACAACCAGTTCGTAATTCTTAATGGTAATCTTGACTGTGAAGAATTTTCAGCTTATTAGAATTTCTCAGGAAACTGAAGGCAAAATTTATTCATTTAAGGCTTTGTATTCCAACCAAAAGTGCTATAATTAATATTATATAACATGTGAGAAGTAGCCCCCAAAATGTAACTATAGAGTAATTATACTATAGAGAAATTAAAACAGTGGGTTTGCTAATGAAAAATCCTAGATTTCTTCTAATCAAGCTTGTTTGTGGTTCCTTATTCTTTTCAATCACAAATGCATGTGATAAAAAAAGCTAGCAAGTTACTGCCCAAACAAGAAAATTAAAATTAAATTAAAGTAAGAGATCCAAATCCTGACAGTAATGTATAATCAGTACTTCTTTTAGAGAGTAGCAGCTTTGTCTGATTGTCCTATATAATATAGCAAATGTATTTTTTGCCTAAACGTAGAAGGTGTAGCTTGAATTTCAGACAGAACCCTTGCTTACTACAAGCAAGCCTTCTGTTAGTATTATTGGTATTGTTGGGGTTGGTATTGTTTTGTTCTGTTCTTCTCAATATCCATTATCAACTCCTTTCAATTATAATCAAGAGCACCACATAATAATATATAAATAGCAGGCCTAGTTACACAGGCTAAAAATAACAAATGTGGGGTAGCATATTTCCCATTACATCAGTTTGCAGTTTTAAAATAATAAACAAACTCTTGCAAAAAACTGATACATTTTACCATTATTGGAGGAATATACCAATAATGTAATGGATACCTAATAATGCCTATTTGTTTCACAGGATTCAAAGGCCACTTTGGGGGAGTAGGTGTACCTGGAGATCCAGGTATTCCTGGATTTTCAGGTGAAAAAGGAACTACTGGAAATGTTGGCCCTCCAGGAAGAAAAGGTAAATTAAATTCTATCAGTAAAGTTGATACTAATATGTTACTATATGTTATGGGCTACATTGAGAGGCAGGCTTCTCTTCCTCTGTGTTCCATATCCGTTTAAGGAATTCTCCCAACCCTGCCAAGTAGTTTTGGAAAGTCTATGGAAGGATGGGCTAGGTTTCAAGAATCCATTCCATTGGCAAAACAGCTTTGTGAGAACCAGAACAGGAAAAGTCAGAAGCAAAGGACCCGCGGCCAGAATGGTCCAGTAATAGGTATCACCTTGACAATGCTCATCAAGCATTCCTTCTGCTGAGAAACCAGTGGCTCTCAGTCCATTATGATATATGGGCAAGAGAAAGAGATTGTCAAGTCCACAATGTCCACGTCCCAATCCCAAAGAATTCTCATGCAACCAGGCCTGGTTC